GAACGCAACAAAATAATACATGTTTACTTAGGGATGTGGAAATCTTCCTCTCGTGTCGAGTGGACACTCGAAGAGAAATTTCATATCTATGCGCGTCCATGTCTTATATTTAATTTTTCACTTTGAAGCAATTTAGAGCAAGAGACTCGCCAACTTTTCTTTTGTCGTCTGCTGTTTCAAGGCTGGTTGGATTCGTTCGTAATGAGGTGAATTCTCTGGGGCGGACTTAAATATCCACGCCATAGATTTTTTATCGATGATAATTTAAGTAATATGCTCAGTATATGTGGCAAAGTTTACACCACTCCTGTGACTTTACCTGCAGTTGAAATCGATGGCCAAAATGTCTCATAGATTAGGTTGACGAATTTGGGTTCTGTCCTGGTGTACCGGTTCACAAGGGAATTACCATTGTTCTTTCTTTGTTTAGGAGTCATCGGTTAGCTATTGTGTATTGTTTGGTCTTTTGTATTGGCTCTTGTGAACCGGTACACGAGGACAGAACCCGAATTTGGGATGTAAAAATGTTGGAAAATGCTGAGCGAACCACGGTGATAGGGAAGTACCAAAAGTTAGTTAAAGTTTTACTTCCATATTCCTCGTTATTCTAAGCGACACTGAACTGCGTCAATTAGCGTCACATTGTAATTGAACTTCACATAACTACTAGTTTGGTTTCAGTTGTTACCAATTTACTACCATCGTCTTTTCTACAGAGTGGCAACTGAAAAATTGACTAGCTTTTGGCTTCTTAACATGCCTGGACTGTAGAGAAGTTTGAGTTCGTTGAAAGTAGCACTTAACTGCTTAACCTTTAGCAAGATGAAATTCGTCAAAACAAACTCGTTCTGTGGTCGACAAAAGCATGGAACAGCCAATGAAATGCGAATGATAAAACGACAAAGCTGTACTGGAAACCGACAAAATTAATTGAGCGGGAGTTTTACCCAAGATAGGGTACACTTTCATGCATGCCTTTCTCAAGATAAGACGTTTATGTTTCAAAATATCTGTGACATAGACGAAACAGTCAAACCCCGTGAGGGTTAAATCTGAGAAAAACCTTGGACTTTCGTCAAGAGGAAAACCTGAAGAAACTTTGAACCTTTTCTTCACCAACACATTCCACAGCAGCTTTTGTTCCTGTCCTTATGTTTATCTGTGAGTGAGTATTTTTCCAAAGCTCAATTGCGGTACATTCAAAGTTCAATGAAAAAAAAAACTTGAGTGGTACAAAGTCTAACGTTCACTACTTCTGGATCTTCTTTAGTTTGTTACCCTTCATCCTCAGAAGTAGTCGAACAAACTGACCTTTTATCCGCTATAAGTAAATCTTTAAACGATGACACGATGAAGTAACAAGTGTTTGAGTGAAAGGGAAACCACGAGATCGTGGTTATAAATGGTTTCAAGTGTGTCAGTGCATAATCTCGTCCGAGTGATCTGTGGCATTAAAAGTAGTGCGAATCATTAAAAAAAACATTGCATGTCGAAATTTAAGCATATTATACCTCTCGACCAGTGAAACTGAAAATCATTAACGCACTTACTTATTTGCTTGAAAATCAAAGACAAGCAGGTTTTCTTTTTGGTTTTCTTGCATTAGGGACTTCAATTCGT